CCCCCCCCCCCCCCCCCCGTCAAGTGTAAATATAAAAGTTGTGCATCTACCAAGGCACAGCCCTGTGCTTTGAACTCTACGAGAGCTGCGAATATTGTGTTATTATTGCGTCATGACTGTACGGTTTACAGATGAGGAAAGGCCCAAATGCCTTTTTTCCTGTCTGCAGTTAAAAAAAAAAAAAACACCAGGAAGATATTTTTAATTGTTTTTGTTTTCATAATGGAGGCTTCTGAGGATAATAAGAAGGAAACAGTATGCTCACCCTTTGCAATTAAATTGGTTATGGGGGAGCATGTGGACTGTGCCTCATAAATGACCTTGGAATAACTGACTACATTGAGAAGAAACATAAAGGGTGTCTGAAAAGAGTTCCACTTCTTGAGAGATTGAAACCAGCAAAATATCTTACCTGATAAGAAAATGCCTTTTTGCAAAAGCTTCATTCCTAACTTTTGCAGCTTCTTGGGGAATGATTTCCCACACCATGATGGAGTGCTCAGGTTAGTTTTTGAGCCAACTGCATTGGTTTAATAAAAGCATTCGTTTCCCAGACCTGAGTTGGCCTACATACATATCCCTTGAAATGAATTTCCTCACAACTTTATAATGTTCAGCTTTAGCAAGCCCCTTGCCTAATAAATCAAGACTGCTGTATGCATCAGTGTCTCACTAGACTTTGATTTAGTAGATGGGAATTATCTGTGGGCTAATTTCGAGCTGTCAACATTCCTGAAAGTCTTTAACACGGTATCTCTGCCTGAATTAGAGCAGATGGAAGTTGCCTTTAAACCAAGTAAATTCTTATTTTATTAAGTATAAAACAAGGCTGTTCCTAAGACCTCCTGTTTGAAGCCTCAATAATGCCATACAGTTTTTAGAGCAATTAGATGCATGCCTTCCTGCCACAGCAAATAACTCAGATGCACCCTCCCAGGTATGGTTCCTTTCAGCTCTTGTTCTGGGACATTCCTCCAAAAGAAGGAACCAGTTGGTCAAATGCTGTGAGAAAGATAGGCACTTATCAATTATGACAAACCAAGATGCTGGCTATGGTAACAATTTCTTCAGAATCTTCAGGCCTCAGGTTCTTTGGGCTTTATGGCACAGACTTCCTTGGAAGACCCACCTGGTACCCGATGAAGACTTTGGTTGAATCCAAAGCAGACTGTGGGTACCTGCAAGGTGGGGTTCTCCCTTTGGTGAGAGTCCACATCACAACTTCTCAACCAA